AATTTAATTAGAAAATTGTCTAAGCTTTGCCGCGAAATGATAAGAAAAACATTAGGCATTAATATCTTTTTTTATATAATACCAAGTGACGGGACGAACAAGTCATGCGCCTGGTGAGCAACACGCCTATCCATAACAGTTGCAGTGCCACTCAGAACTTAAAATCGCAAAGATCTTAGGGACACTGCCACTGCGCCCGTCACGCTGAGACATAAGTTAACAAGTCCCATTTGCCTGAAATTTTACTAACACCCTTACCCTTCAAAACTGGAATGCAGTAATGTTAACATTATTGCTCGGCGGCAGAAATAGGTTAAGGTGGCAATAATCTCACTTTTAAAACTATTTTCACACACTGTTTGTCACTTGCTTTAGTTGAATAACTACACTGTGATTGATAAATCACACTCTCTTAATTTATCACGCTTTGTAAATACAACGTTACATAATATTATCACTATATAATTATACATCGTATAATGATATATCTCGAGTGGAAATCCTTGCCTGTCGACAGGCGAAAGGTAATAGATTTATTAAGGTGTGTGTGGTCCATCTTCGACCTCATCAAACCTTTCACTTTTACATTTCACACTTGAAATGTACAAAACCTAAACTCGTTCCAATGAAAATAATGATCAACATAATTCCTACTTAATGACGGAAATTCCAATCTAGAAATGCAACTTATAATCTCGCTGCCCAGAACATATTTAAAATATATTCGTTCCATATCGCGAGCGACTCGTCCGATATGCGCTATGTAATTTACGCACTCAGTCGCAACAGCTGCGTTTTTCAAGCGTTTAATTAAATGCGTGATTGCCTTTCTATATTACATTTGTTATTTCTTTTTTTTTTTGTTTTAATGCCTAGATCAAAGGCTGCTGTAATATATAATATCAATACTGTTTGTAGAGTTATGAGAATATGTATGATTGAACACTAAAATCAATAGCTTTAAAGAGTTCTTAGGTTTTCGAGATTGTTACACATTGGAAATTATACGTTTTAGTAACAGTAAAGCTTTTTGTGAAAGAGTTCGTCCAGCGTACTGACGCCTTAATTATTTCTGCCGCTAAGCAGTAATGCTTGCATTACTGCGTCTCGATTTTAAAGGGTTATGGGTGCTGGTGAAATTACAGTTACACGTGTCTCAGAGTGACGAATGTGATGGCAGTGCCCCTCAGGTCTTTACAATTTAAAGCTCTGAGCGGTACTGCAACTGCTATAGACAGACAGACATACCGACAAACACACGACGTGTTCGTTTCGTCACTTGGAATCATAAAAAAAGTTTTTTTTCGGATTAAATTTCGTAATATACTTATATTTGTATTTTATACAAACCAATGTTTTGGGCAGGTCCCATTGCCACGGCATCTATCAATGTGCCAATAATGCTCGAAGAAATATGATATAATTTGTATAAACATGGTTTTAAAGGTATATTTAGACGATTACTTGAAAATAAATAATACCTTTTAGGTATTTGTAACTGTCCGGCCACGGAGGCAATTAAACTCGAGAAATTGAAAATTAAAAAAAAAACTTTTCCTTGTATTCGTGTCTGTAATATTCTTTGCCATACCCGGTGGCAGCCCGACAAACTCGCCAGATCAAATGTCATGGGCAAAGTACAGCCTTGCAACAGAATGCTTCACTATGTGTGTAGCTAAGTAACCGTCCTCACCGGTCTTTCTGTTTCAACTCGAGAGAAGCCGAAAAGTGAATGATATGGAAACAGCTCGTATATGCTACGATAACCTTTTAAGGGACACGAACTTTAGCAATGACGAACTCGACCAAGTGGAATATTCTCAATTTACGAAATAAATGGCATCAAAACGTGGTAACTTTTTTCGAAGTATCCTCTCTAGATATATTTAAGTATTCAACTGCCTCTGTGGCCGAACGGTTACCATGCCGTACTGCCATGCAGAAGTCCTGGGTTCGATTCCCAGGCCGGGAGAAATATGTGTATGGCCTACATTTATATCTCTCGTGAGTTTGGGTGTAATTTGTGGTTGTCTATGTGTGTGTCCATGGCACCCGCGGCACAGGGTTTCCCTAGTGCGGGGCTATGTTGAGTGCGTGCGTTATTATTATTATTATTTAAATATTCAGTATAATTTTCAGTATCAGTTTTGACTTGAATATTCAACACTAATACTTATCAATAATAGTTCCTACCGGAGATCTACTGTTTATCAAACAATGTAAATTATAAGAAAGTTCTTTCAACTCATATCGAGTTCTTAGGTTTTCGCGATTGTTACACATACGAAATGAACACATGGACACACATACAGACAACCACAAATTACACCCAAACTCACGAGAGATATAAATGTAGGCCATACAAGTATTTCTTCCAGTCCGGGAATCGAACCTGGGACCTCTGCGTGGCAGTCCGGCATGGTAACCATATAAAACTGTCTGTTAGAATATTCTAAAAAACACTTAAAAGATATAGGAAATGAAACTATTTTTCCGGCTTTAAATCGATCAGGTCCCATGGACAGACCTGGACCAGGACCTGTATAGGGCCCGAAACGTCGGTTTGTTTGAATAAACAAATAAACGCGATTTAAATCAGGAAAAATAGTTTTATTTCAACTCATTATTTTTTTGTGGACCATCAACAGTTTCAACTAAAATACTATAATATATTTTTTATTCCGTAATTTGAAGACAGAGTTACAGAGTTTTGTTATACATTATATGAATAATATACTGGAACCACCGTTCATAAAGTTAGGCGACTTCTAATATTGTGGCTTACAATTCAAGTCTACAAACAGATCCTTAATACGAAATAACTTAATTTTTTTTTATAATAAAACTATTTTTCGATCAAAGATCACTTTCAAACAATGCAATATTTACTCGTATAAACTCGCACGACTGCAGACGTACAGGGAATACAGGGAGCCTCGACGCAATGTCGTAACAGGCTCCTTTAGTGCACTCCAAATCCTCGGGAGATCGATGGTAATTCTGAATTACATATTGTACATAAATATTTTTCAATTTCTCGTACTAATTACCCAATCAGGTAAGGGACGGCTATCTCGGTAGGTACGTTGAGCTATTGTTAAATTAATATAAGCTATCAAAATTCATTATGCGATTACATTTACAGATCGTAGTGCATATTTAATTTAACAAAATTAAATTATTTTAATACTTTCCAAAATCAAGAAACACGCTCTTAATTAATTTCAACAACAAAAGAATATCTAACAGTCACTCTTACTTAGCAGTGTAATAGACACCACTTTATTCCCTTAGTAATTCTCAGCGCTGTGATTTATTGACATGTAAATAATATGTAAATAAAGCACAGTGTTTAACAATACAACCGCACTCCGTAGACTATATCTCGTAGCTATAACCGTAGCACTTCTAGGTACGCCAAGCTACGGAACGTGTTGTAGCAACAGTTGCATACGATTCGCGCTACGTTACACTCGCCTACTAAAGTAAAGGAACCTCGAAGTTTGGGGCAATTAAATTCAAGTTCGGGTTTGTGATTGTAATTTAAATATATTTTCTTTTCATTTATTGAAGTGTTAAAAGTTTGGATGTAAGAGAAAAGAGTATAAAAAATTGACATACTTTTTAAATAATTGTAAAAAATAATGAAAATTTACGTGTGTAACGTTATACAATGCAGCTTATGAACGTTTTAACAAACGTGAAGCATAATGCGCGCTGTGTTTCTTTGTTATTGTATTCTCATTGTCGTAAAAGGTGGGTATTTTCAGTGAATAAACATTACATTTTTGAAAACTGTCGTGTTTTAAAACGAACTTTTACGTTTTCTAATACTTTAAAAATGTAGATGTATTATTTATAATATTTTATTATTTACAAATAACGATGGAATAAAAGATACAATCTAATAGTTGCAATACTATATACCGACTTACATATTGGCAGTGTTCCTTTGCATATCAGCAGGACTAAATTGCAAAGCGAATACAGTCTATACGAAGTTATTTGTAAGAAAGAATTGTAGATTGATATAACGACATGGGTATTAATTCTGTCTGAATAACTAACATTACTTTTATGTGGAGAGGCAGAGAGCTTGAAATAATGATGAAAATATTGATATCGGATTAGAAAGATGATGATTTATTTTAAAAGAACTTACATTATATTATGCACAATAGTGGTATCTCATTTAGTAACATTATTAGTAAGTATGTTGGTAAAAGTAAAGGTAAACTACCTTGTTTTTTTTAATAAAATATATTGTGATTATTTTGTTTAGCTTGCCTGTACTCTATATAATATTGTAACTAGTCGTACTATCGACTAACTACATTATAATTTTTTTTTAATATAATATCACGTCACTGCGGGACGAACAAGTCGTGCGCCTGATGGTAAGCTACACGCCTGTCCATAACAGTTACAGTGCCATTCAGAGCGTTAAATCGCAAAGATCTGAGGAGAACTACAACTGCACCAGTCACCCTGAGACAAAAGTTGACAAGTCTCATGTGCCTGTAATTTCACCAGCACCCTTACCCTTCCAAATCGGAACACAGTAATGGTGACATTACTGCTTGGTGATAGAAATAGGTAAGGCGGCAGTCCTTCCCTGGACGAACTCTTTCACAAGGAGCTCTACTGCTACTACATGCAACAAACATGTAAATAAAATATTATACATTCTTAAAATGTTATTGAAAATTCTATTCTCTTTTCACAAAATGCACATTGTTGTAGCCCTATCAACTAACTTCACATACGTACCTAATTTTGCACATATCTTGAGCTATCTTCAAGAATGTAAAGAAAGGTAACAACGTCTAAATATTTCAATATTTAAAACTTCACGCAAGTTATTTGCTTGTTTTTTTTTAACAAGCACTTTTTTATACACAACTTTGGTCTTATAATAAATAATTTAGGCTTTAAATGTTCCTGAAACACACATGTACTAACAGATTTGAAGTGAATAAACACATGTAATGTATTTCTAGTATCAATCTGCCTTCGAATAGTCGGCACATCAGTACCAAGTCTCAAACAGAGAGGGGAGTCAGCAACATTGACCTGCGACTACGATTTGGAAGGAGGTCGACTATACTCCGTCAAGTGGTACAGGGACAATGAAGAGTTCTATCGATACATGCCGAAGCTGATACCACCGCAGCATGCACACAGATTGGATGGAGTTAAGGTTGATGTGAGTACATACGTAATTATACTTGTCTACACCTATTTATACGTATAACTATCTAAACCTAATCTGTGTCCACTCAAACACAATCGATTTTGTAATTATTTCTGAGTCTGTGGATTATATTAAAAATTAAAATTTTTACTCTGATGTCACAGAGTATTTATGAAAAAGTAACGACTATATACCAGATGAAGAACAGTTGACATGTTATTTTAAATTATTAGTAGGAACAAATAAAAACGGATGTAAATTTACTCCACGAACTCCGGGATCGCACGGGGTACACTGTGCCCCGCATATGCTGAGGTGGTGACCTATTCGGCGAAGCATGCATAGTAGCATACGATTGGTTTTTTTTAGTGAAGTCGAATTCTGTTTTTCTCTTTTTTATGTTATTACATTTTCTATTATGTTTTATTCTATTCTTATTCCACATTTATTAACATGGATTTCCGTAATTTAACACCTGAGTCTATTCACTATTTAAAGAAGAAACAGAATTAAACACCACGAACTCATTTAGATATCAGAAACTAAAATCGAGAAATGAGAAATCGAAGACATTTATTGGATGACTTGTTATAGTACAGATACTACAAGTGATTGGATTCACAGTTCAATAAATATTTATTTGCAAAGCGCAACTACTTAAATTCCTTTCTCATTTTTCTCAGTAGGTTCTGCTTTACAGAATGAATAATAGTGTTTACTCAATTTAACGATTTAAAGTGTAATTGACATTTATGTGGTCTGTGGTCTAATTTATTAATGTATGTATAAAATAAAAACGAAAAAATATAATATTATTTTTATTCATTACATTTAGAAACTTTTGTAAATGCTAAGATATTCAGTGGGTGATTTTACCCAACAAAAAAGTAAAAAAAAGCACATGTAATCATACTAATGTAAAATAAATACTCGATACAAATTTATATGTTATACACAACTTTATAAAGATTTTTTTTCGGGATTCCAGAGATAAAAGTATTACATATTGATGGGTGGAATTACGCCTAAAAAATTCGCAAATCCTTATGGCACGTTTATTCGACACGGATTTCATCGCGCTAATCGTGCGGAGTCCGCGTTGCCGCCGCGATTAGCATGCCATCATGTCGTCATGTCATGGCAAAATACGCTCTATTTATTTAGTTTTTACGTTTTAACTTAAATGAGCGCCTCGGGCACGCGAGCTAGGCTTGAATTTGGTCAACGCGGCGACCACGCGGTTGTATTATTCAGAGTAATTTAAATGTTGTTGCCTAGTAAATACAATTCAGATTCGCCATTAATGTACATGAAGGCGTAGTAACTGAGCAGTCGCCGCGCGGCGGGCGCGCAAAAACTTTCGCCTCGTGTAACTGGGCGCTTAAGGGTCATACTGTGTATTTACTGTAAGGAAATTGAAGAAAAAATATTAACATTTATTTCATTTTAATTATCCACTAACTCAAAGCAAATACTACAAAATCGATTGCATGTTCGCGTTTGCATAAAGGAATAAACCAAATAGTTGTAGTAATCCACCTTTGGTGGCATCCTGTACAACCTTAGATAACCTACGCCAACGATTTGAGCCTGCCACCTTGAGACCTAAGTTGCCAAGTTCCATGTGCCTATAATTTCACCAGCACTCTTACCCTTCAAAACCAGATCACAGTAAGGGCGCGTTCCCATTATGTCGTAACGTTTTAATTATCGTTAGGCGTCTGTCGTAGCTGGTGTCGTGCATTTTTTATCGCCGAACGACTGTCGTGTCTATCTGTTTGGGAGCAGCTAGACATATAGGATGGACAGTGATGACAATTTATCGGTTCACGGTAGCCGCCTTGTCGTTTGTACGATAGAATCGTTTGACGCACAGCAGTCGTCTCTTTTAGAAGTCAGTAGTGTTCGTACCCGTGTGAAATGAAAATAGATGAAGATGAATTTTTAATAATGTATTACTTTTTAAAAAAGGCGGAAAAGGAGTCTAGAAGAGGAGGAGATGGAGATGAATATAACGTGACGACAATAGTAGCTGCGATCAGCTACACGATAAAAATGTGACGACAGATAATCATACCTGTCGTCACATTTTTATCGTGACGACAGACTGTCGTTCTAGCTCTCCTCATTGTCTTGACAGTCTGTCTTCGTAACGTCAAAAAAAGTCACGAACGACAGGTAATCATGTAGTACTACATGTGAACAAATTGATTTAAATATACGAGCCACGACACTTTAAATTGCACGACTATCTGTCGTCACGAAGTAATGGGAACGCCTTTATGCTTACATTACTGCTTGACTGCCGAAATAGGTAAGATGGCAGCACTTCCCTGGACGGTCTCTTTCACAAGGAGCATTCTACATCTAATGTTATACGACTAAAGCATTATCATCTAAAATCTAAACCTCAGAATGGGTTTGCACTTAGATACTTAATGTTTTACTTGTCGACCATGAATACGAAAGAATAGCAGTGGTAGTCCCGAGGGAGACTGGTTATTTCTCAATTGAAAGGTCGACGTTTCGAATCCTTATGACGCCATGTACCTATGACTTTTTATTTCTAAATTGTACGCATTTGTGAATGTTCGGTTGCAATACCTCTTACTAATGATGAGGGAAAAACATCGTATGAAATCTGCTTGTAATAGAAAGTTCACAACCCTAGGAAAACGTCTAAATTCCTTAACTTCATTGGGCTAGCGCGCTAGACTATGATCTAAACCGTAGTATAATAAGACAAGAAATTCCCGCCTATTTGACGCATCAATGCCTACATTTCGCACGGAACGTAGGGTTGTCACATTATTCTAGTCGTACCTACAGGTTGTAAACAAATATTTTTAAAAACCCTCTTTACATGTTCCTGACCACTTGCTTTTAAAATTTTGAATCATTCTCGAATTCCTTTTCCTTCCACTAGTTTTACGTTGGTTCGTTCTATCATCACTTCCTACGTAACTCTCGAAGTGAGAGGACGTGCATTCCTCTAGTAAATTTACGCTGTTTAAATGACAAAATTTTCTTAGGTGCATTTTATAACGAATAAACACAAAAATGTGAGAAAAATTGTTTGTGCACTTTGCACATACATAACGTACACCTATGAAGCTATCGTAAACAGCTCCTAATACGTCAAAAAAGATAAACCTACATCACCGGGGCTCAGGCAAGTTGAAGATGAGAAAACTGAGATACATACATACACATACAAGCCACAATGTTAATTAATTATGACCTTTGTTTCAAAGGCAGTACTTACGTATTGATTTTTTTTATACCAGAATCGCGGATTGGTATCTCATTTCTGGCGTATGTTGAGTCTTTACCCTTTTTGTCCACATTACTGTTCTTTTTATTTACACACACTTTTATTCACATTATTGTTCGCTTATATTTGTTTATCCACAAAACATAAATAAATGTCTTTTTATTTTTTATTTATTTATTTATGATTATGAAATAGAACTAAAATGCTGAACAATTCTGAATTTGAGCTATTGTTATTCAAACTACTATAAAAATAACAATAAACACGTTTACAATTTGATATGATTTTTTAAACACCGCGTGAGACGACCTGTGCTATGTAACGTGAGTGCACCACGAGATTATGCGAATGTGTGCATTTGTATAAGACGGGCGGTGGGCGTGCACACATACAAGCCGCGCTGCTACGTTTGAGTGTAGTTACCCTACTTGTCTTATTATACTATGCTTAAACTCTCTCCATAGGTCCATACTCGGCAGTAGAATGAATGTGTTGATGATGATAATGAGGATCATCATAAGTAATTTTTAAATTAACAGTTAGACAAATCCAGCGCCCGTCGAGTACACCTGCGGGATCTAACTCTAAGGTCTCGAGGACTCTACCGCTGCGAAGTCTCCGAAGAGGCTCCATCGTTCCACTCAGCGCAAGCCGAAGCTCTTATGGAAATTTATTGTAAGTGCACCACACCA